TAAAGCCCTGATTTCACACATATTGAGGTTGTCTTAAAGCCCAGATCCCAAATTAGTTCACGCAACTCCAGGGGCAGAATTTGGGCTGGTTGGGGGAAAAAAAAAACGATTGTTTTATTGGGTGTGAAAAAACGTGATTCTGTTACTTAGCGCAGGGTTCATATGCAAGATGGGCCCAGTTTGATTTGGGGTGAGCTCAAGTTGGGTCACACGAGGATCTCACGGGACACAGGGACACATGAAGTCCCAAATTGTAAGCTCACTTACAGCCGTTGATTGGAAACCTGACGAGAGCAGGGTTTGGAGTTAGGCTTGGCAAGCCCGATCTAACGGTGGAAACTGCACGAATCAAACTGGGCCCAGTTTGCAAAGTTGATTTCCACCGTAGATATTCCAACCTCGATTTTGCCTCTCACTGTGGCGAAGGAACAGTTGGTTCTTTTTTTTTCTTGGTTTGTTCGCCAGCACGGTCAGCATCAAACTGGGCCCAGTTTGATGCATGCTTGACTAATTTGGGACCTGGGCTTTAAGGAAGAGCTGCTGTAGCTCCCTCCAAGCCTCACTATAAGTTTTACCCCCCATAAAGCCCACTCACTTACATGGATTTCACCAGATAATTGAGGTTATTCATCAGGAAGAGCTGCTGTAGGCTCCTCTTCTGGATAAAGCCGTGATCTAGACTCTAGGTTCCTCCTCAAAGCATCACCAGCTGAGCTGTCTCACTCTCCAAGCTCCTCCCGACACCTGGCGCCCTCCCATTGCCCGCCCCTGCTGACATGGCAGATGCTGACGTGGCAGCGGCTGCGGCAGCAGCGATTGGATTGGAGGAGAGAGGGGAGAGGGAGGAGGCGGTGGAGGGGAGGGGAGGAGGGCGAAATCTGCTGTGAGGGAGTTGGGGTCCTCGTCCGGATGGGTCTCAAGAATGGCGAAGAGGGAGGTCAAGGAGTCAACGTAGCTGCGTTCTCCTTGCCTGCGAATGGGAGGAGGGGGATGGGCGGGAGGGGCGTGTGTATGTGATTGAATCAAGTGTCTGCTGTGAGGGAGTTGGGGTCTTCGTCTGGATGGGTCTCAAGAATGGCGAAGAGGGAGGGAGGGGTGAGGGAGTCAACGTAGCTGTGCCTTCCTTGCCTGTTGGGTTGGGTGCAAGGGGGGAGGGAAGGTTGGTGACTTCTGAGTCTGGGACGTCTGCTGTGAGGGAGTTGGGGGGTCTTCATCTGGGAGCGTCTCGAGGGTGGAGAAGAGGGAGGTCAAGAGTCAACGTAGCTGCGTTTTCATTGATTGCTGTGGGCAGGGAACAAGCAGGGGTCGGGATGGAATGAGGTCTATTTTTGAGGCGCCTCAAAAATAGACTCCTCACGCATGCTTTCTTTGGGCAGGGAACAAGCAGGGGTCGGGATGGAATGAGGTCTGCAGCAAGCAAGGGAGTTGGGGTCTTCGTCTGGGTGTGCCTCGAGGAGGCAGAAAAGGGAAGCTAGGGAGTCAACGAAGCTGTGCCTTCTTTGCCTAGTTCAATGACACCTCATCTATCACCGGTCCGCTTCTGGACGGGTCTCACGGAAGGAGAGAGAAGAGAGAATTCAGGGAGTGCACTTCATCGGGAAGGAAAGAAAAGAGGTATTTTGAGAAGAGAGGAGTCAGGAAGCCTATATTTCCCAAAGCAAATCTTCTATCACGGGTCTGCTTCTGGATGGGTCTCACGGAAGGAGAGAAAAGGGAGAAGTCCCCGCACCTCTGCATGTGGCTGCAGCGGATGTAGCTGGCCACATGGCTGGCGAGGGAAAGAAACCACCGCGATTCCTCTGGGAACTAGAAACTGGGTCATCAGCCACTCATACGAGCCTCACCTCTGCATGCGGCTGCTCCCTCACCCTCACCTCTGCATGTGGCTGCTCCCTCGCCCTCACCTCTGCATGTAGCTGCGGATGTAGTTGGCCACATAGCTGGTGATGGAGTCAACTGCCCCCCCTCGGGGCACGATCTCATAGACAGACTCGTCAGGGGCCACAGCTGTGCTGCTGTTGGCGGTGGCGCTGCGAGTGAGGAAGCTGCAAGGTGGGGGGTGGGCAGGATGCCAGGAGTGAGAAGAGAGAGGGCAGAGCGGTGGGTATTGTCAGTCGCCTCGGGTCTCATAGACAGACTCGTCAGGGGCCCCAGATGTGCTGCTGTTGGCGGCGGTGGCGCTGCGAGTGAGGAAACTGCAAGGTGTTTGGGGTGGGGGGGGGGGGGGGGGGTGGGGGGGGGTGCAGGAGTGAGAAGAGGGGTGGGTATTGTATTAAGCCTGAGATCTCATAGACAGACTCGTCAGGGGCCGCCAACGCGCTGCTGTTGGCGGTGGCGCTGCGAGTGAGGAAACTGGGGGGAAAGCAGGGAGGAGAGTGGAGACAGCACGGTCCTCAGTCAGCAGCTCCGTCACTAGCCACTTGAATCGCTAGAAGCCGGCTGTTACCGCTCATGCTCGCCCACTGCTGCTCTCCTCGCCCACTGGTGCTTACCCACTGGTGCTTACCTAAGAGCCGGTTTCTTTGCCGGAACAGGCTTCCGCATGGCATCCGCAAGGTTAGACGCAGCAGAGTCTTCCAGAAGCAGCTTCAGCCGCTGGAAGCACGCCGCCACCGCTCGCCCCAGGAGGAGAGGTAAGCCCTCGCATGCACCCCACACACTGCTGACCTTCAGGTCCTGGAAGGTGGCAGAGAGCTGGTTACAATCAGAGGGATCGGTAAAGAGGGGGGAGGAGGGGGAGTGGGAAGAGACTGAAGGTTGGGGGGGTGACATGAGGATAGTGTGTGAGAAGCTTCAGCCGCTGGAAGCACGCCGCCACTGCTCGCCCCAGGAGGAGAGGTAAGCCCTCGCATGCACCCCACACACTGCTGACCTTCAGGTCCTGGAAGGTGGCAGAGAGCTGGAGCAGAGGGCGAGGGCGGGGGTGGAGGGGAAGCGAGGATCGTGTGCGAGAACCCAGTGCCCTCTGATGGGAGAGCCTTCCAATTCCAAGAGAAGCTTCAGCCAGTGGATGCACGCTACTCAGTGGCCCAGCAGAGCAGAGAGGGTCTTCCAAGAGCAGTTTCACTGCTCGCACCAGCAGCAGAGGCAGGCCCTCACACCTAGACATGGGCAAAAAAAAATCGCATCGCATCGCATTTAAACGCATTTTTGCGATGGCGATGTTTTTTTTTTTTTAATCATCGCGCGATGCGATGAATTAATATCGCGCGATTTAATTTTAATCGCATTTTAATCGCGCTTAAAATACGCGATTTAAGTGCGATATGCGATTTTTTAAAAAAATCGCGCGCGATATTGCACTGAAACCCACTCTGAAACCCACTTTGAAACCACACTGGTTATTTGCACTCTAGCGTACGACTGCCCGTGAGTCAATTTCCCCGCAGCCATGGTTTTTTCCTGTTTTTTTGGGGTGTTTTTTAATTCTGTTTTAAAACGCGATGCGATTTAAAATCGCATTGCGCGATTTAATTAAACATCGCATGCGATTTTTTAATACATCGCGGGTAAAATGCGATGTGCGATTTTATTTTATTTGAAAAATAAATCGCGCGATGCGATTTAAAATCGCATCGCTTTTTTATCATCACACCTGCATGCGATGCGATTTAAATCGCAATCGCGTTTTGATCATGTCTACTCACACCCCCCCCACCCACTTCGCTGACTTCCAGGTCCTGGAAGGTAGCAGAGAGCTGGGGAGTGCACGGGAAGAGATGGGCGATTCTTGAGAATTCTCAAAAATTGCACGGGAAGAGATAGGCGACTCTTGAGAATTCTAAAAAATTGCACGGGAAGAGATAGGCGACTCTTGAGAATTCTCAAAAATTGCACGGAAGAGATAGGCGACTCTTGAGAATTCTCAAAAATTGCACGGGAAGAGATAGGCGATTCTTGAGAATTCTCAAAAATTGCACGGGAAGAGATAGGCGATTCTTGAGAATTCTCAAAAATTGCACGGGAAGAGATAGGTGACTCTTGAGAATTCTCAAAAATTGCACGGGAAGAGATAGGCGACTCTTGAGAATTCTCAAAAATTGCACGGGAAGAGATAGGCGACTCTTGAGAATTCTAAAAATTGCACGGGAAGAGATAGGCGATTCTTGAGAATTCTCAAAAATTGCACGGGAAGAGATAGGCGATTCTTGAGAATTCTCAAAAATTGCACGAGAAGAGATAGGCGATTCTTGAGAATTCTCAAAAATTGCAAGAGAAGAGATAGGCGCACGGAAAGGCATTGGAGGGGAAGCCAGCAGCAGAGGAAGGGAGATTTGTGAGTGTAGTGAGTGATGTGAGAGTCTTGAGCAACAGCTTGACCCGCTGGTAGCACACTGCCAGCAGCAGGCCAGCAGCAGCGGGGCAGGCCCTCACACGAGAAGGAGGTATATGATATGAGGGGAGTGTGTGAATGTGAGAGTCTCCCAGCAGCAGCTTGAGCCGCTGCTAGCACGCTGCCACTGCTCACCCCAACAGCAGATGCTCGCATGCCCCCCCCCCACACAGCCTTCGCTCACTCGCAGGCAAACATGTTGCCTCTACTCTACTCTACTCTACTCTACTCTACTCTACTCTACTCTACTGATAACCGACAGCCTCACCATGGACACCTAGGCATTAGTAAAACGCCCGTAGGCCCGGCTTGGCCCGAGCCTGGCCCGTTTTTTTACGGGCCGGGCCACATTTCCACCCTGGTCGGCCGCTCGGTCCGGGCCGGGTTTGGGACCGCGGGGGCCGGCCCGGCCCGTCGTCAGGCAGGGAGTTCGATGACGGGCCGGGCTGGGCCGACCCGCTTGGCGAACTGACGCGCGGCCCACCCATGCGTCACAACATTTGCGCACTTCATATTTCAACCTTAGGGTCGAGATTTCCATCCGCGCAGGTCATTTTCAGCTACAAAAATGGCCTCAGGACTTCTCACTAACCTCTCCCCTACTACCTCGTCTCCTTCGCCCTAAGTTAGCCTATATAGTACGAATTAGTCGCGTACGTAGTAGATCTAGTAGTTTTACAGACAAGCAGCTTTGTGTGCTCCTTCTCCACCTTCCCCAAAACCCAAAACCCAACACCCCATCCCCCGTTTTTGCCAAGCCAAAGCAACCCCATGTTTCGCCAAGCCAATCAGGCACCCAGACCCACCTCACACTCCCACATACCTCTGGCATGATCTCTTGAACCACTTGATAAGCGTCCAGGAGGGAGAACAGCTGCTCCGCCATGCGCCGCGACACAATGGCCCTAAGCACGTCTGCTAGAAACAAAACCCGTCGCCCGACGCCACCATCCTCCAGCACTCCTCGCAGTGCGGCTCGCCTCTGCGTGTCCATGCCCCTCCACGCCTCGTTGGCCGTCTGGTGCTCCATGGGGATGATGAGTGCTCCCTGTAAGACGTTAGGGTTGCACGAGGGGGATACGTCGGAGCATGATTCACCTTTGAGTGTCCAAGGGGGTGATCAGAGCGCCCTGCAGCACAAGAGGGTTTCAGACAGGAAGAGATACACACCCACAGCACACTACTTGTCTCTGTGTATCCATGCCCCCATCCCCAAGCCTCTTTCGGCTGTCTGATGCCCCCTCGGGGCGATCCATGCTCCATAAAATTATGTGTACACCCACCCACATCAGCCATAGGCGACCCGCACCCGTTTTTCTCGGGCCTGCTCCAGCACTCCCGTTGAGGCCTCAAGAATAACCCCCGGACACAGCACGTCCTTGCACGGTTGCTAACCATCCATGCTTTAGCATAGCGTCAGTCTTCAATGATATAGTCTGCTCGCACCCACTCCTTTGAACGCCTGCTGCTCCAGCACCCACCACGGTGCCTCGTGAATCACCCTCCCGGGCTCAGCACACTTTTACACCATCCATGCTTTGGCATAGCCTCAGCCTTACAATGATATAGGCTGCTTGCATGCATCCACTCCAGCACCCGCCACGGGGCCTCATGAACCAACCCCAGCACTCAACATGTTTTCACATTGGGTGACGCGTGTTCTAACCCGTGTGTAATGAGTCGATTTCTTAATCGACTAAAAAATCGACTCATTACACTCTAACGTAGTCATAGCATCAGCCTTACAATGATATATGCAGCCTGCACCCACTCCTTGGATGCCTGCTCCAGCACCCGCCACAGGGCCCAGTGAATCGCCCCAGGGCTCAGCACATCCCTCCGGTGGGTGATGCATGTTTGTTCTAACATACTCATGGCATACTTACAATGATATACGCAGCCTGCACCCACTCCTTGGACGCCTGCTCCAGCACCCGCCACGGGGCCTCGTGAATCACCCCTGGGCTCAGCACGTCCTCCAGCTTGAGTTCGTCCATCAGCGCCTTCACAGCCTCTGCTCTCACGGACCTGTGTTGAAGGTTCAAGGATAGAAGGATCAATGAGAAGGGGAGAGACGGGACGAGCATTGCGAATCACCCCAGGACTCAGAACATCCTCCAGCTTGAGTTCGTCCATCAGCGCCTTCACAGCCTCTGCTCTCACGGACCTGTGGGGTGTCAGGGTTTCGGGGTTGACGGGGGGGAGCGGGGGAGGCAGGAGAGGCCTCGTGAATCACCCCCAGGCTCAGCAAGCCCTCCAGACTTAGCTCGTCCATTCAACGCCTTCACCGCCTCTGCTCGCACGGACCTACAGGGGGCAGCGTGGGGCAGCATGGGGCGCAAGGTGTAGGGGCATGGGAAGCGAAGGGAGAAAACAGTTGCCTGGTGAATCACCCCTGGGCTCAGCACACCCTCCAGCATGAGTTGGTCCCTCAACGCCCTCACCACCTCTGCTCTCACGGACCTATAGGGGCCGCATGTGAAGGGGGGAGGGGGAGGGGGTGCGGAGAGAGAGGTGGGAGGGGGAGGGGAGGGAGAGGGGAGGAGTGAGAGGGGAGGGATGGGCAAGCGGGAGAAGTGCCTCGTGCCCAGGACTCGGCACATCCTCCAGCCTGAGTTCGTCCCTCAACGCCTTCACCGCCTCTGCTTTCACGGACCATTAGGGGCCGCATGTGGTAGATTGATGGGGACGGGGGAAGGGAGATGGGAGGGGTGAGGGGTGGGCAATTGGGAGCAGTGCCTCATGCCCACTGCCCAGGACTCGGCACATCCTCCAGCCTGAGTTCGTCCCTCAACGCTGCCTCTGCTCTCACGGACCTAGAGGGGCCGCATCCAGGTGGGGGTCGGTCGGGGGGTGGGAGGGAGGGGAGGGGACACCTAGGGGGTGGGAGGGAGGGGAGGGGACACCAAGGGGGTGGGACCGTGGTGGGAGGGAGGGGAGGTGGGGGAGAAGAAGGGTTGGGCTGGCAAAGGGGAGAAGCACACTATGAATCATCCCCGGACTCAAAACGTCCTCCAGCCTACCACATTTTTAAGGGAGCGTAAGCCTCAACGCACTTTCCTTCCGCGCCTCCCTGCACCATCCGCCCTGCCGCCTCATTCGGCCACCGCCCCGTGCTCACAGGAAACAGCTCAGGAACAGGAAGCGGCCCAGGCACCAGAGAGAGCAGGAACCAGCTCAGGGAAGCGGAGAGAGCAGGATACCACACTGGGCAGCCTCACCAAGACTTTGGTTTTAAGGAGGGGACGCGCCCCAGCGCCCACTGGTGGTAAGCCTCCATACAATCTCACCTGTAAGCTTCCACGCACTTTCCTCCCGCCCCTCCCTGCACCATCCGCCCTGCCGCCTCATTCAGCCACCGCCCCGTGCTCACAGGAAACAGCTCAGGAACCTTCCTCTTCCCCTTCCGCCTCCCCCCCTCCTCCTCCCCCCCTTCCCCACCCGCTTTCTCTTCCCCTTCCGGTCCTGCCTCTTGAGCTCCACTCCTCCCCTCACTCCTCCCATCCCCCCTTTCCCCTGGACTCAAAAGGGCCCCATCCTCCCCCTCCTCTCCTCCTCTCCCCTCTCTAACCCCCCTTCCCTCCTGCCCCTCCCCCTTCCCGTCCCCCCCCTCCCCTGCAGGCTCCGCGCTCCCCCCATGGAGGAACTCCGCCTGAAAGAGCCTCCTCAGCTCGTCTGCTGAGAACCTGGCCGAGGCTTGCTTGCTGGGGTTTCAAGGGCGTGGGGGGAGATGGGGAGTTGGGGGGAAAGGCAGGGGCAGGGAAGTAGGGGATGGGAGCGGGGGGGGAGGGGGGCTATTGAGTCGACTCAAGAGCAGGCTCGTCTGCACTAAATAGCGCAGAGGACTGCTTGATGGAGGAAGCGGGGAAGCCAATAGAGAAGGAAATCGAGGAGGAGACCGAAGGGCAAGGAGCACATCAACTCCGCCTGGAATGGCCACCTCAGCTCATCTGCTGAAAAGCGGGCAGAAGATTGCTTGCTGGGGATTTAGAGGTGAAAAGGGCGGGGGGGAGAAGGGGGAGGGAAGAGAGGGAGCAGGGAAAGTTGGCGAGGAAGTGCCTTTTCAGCTCGTCTGCAGCACCAAAGCGGCAGAAGCTTGCTTGCTGGGGGTTTACAGGGGCGGGGCGGGGAGGGAAGGAAAGGGAGGGAGCAGGGAGTGTTGGCGAGGAAGTGCCTTCTCAGCTCGTCTGCAGCACCAAAGCGGCAGAAGCTTGCTTGCTGGGGGTTTACAAGGGCGGGGCGGGGAGGGAAGGAAAGGGAGGGAGCAGGGAAAGTTGGCGTGGAAGTGCCTTTTCAGCTCGTCTGCGCTGAAGCGGGCAGAAGCTTGCTTGATGGGAAGAGGGGGAAGAGCGGCTCGTTTCCTCCTTTTAAGTGTTTCTCTTAGCTCGTAATACAAATCCTTCATCCCAGCCCAAGAGAAAACCTCTCATCCCAGCATGTGAGGCAAGAAAACGGTTCGTTACAAAAAGCATCGCCCCCCCCCCCCCCTCCTAGCTTTTACCCACCTCCTCCTCTTAAGTATGTCTCTTAGCTCGTAGTCCAGATCCTCCATAGCGGTCCTGAGCAGCATGTCAGCCCTCCTCCCCGCGTCCTTCTCCCCCACCTCTGCCAGCACCTTGCGCACATTCAGCAGCAGGTCCACCACCGGGAGGTATTCATCCAGCTTGCCATGCGGCCCTGCTGCAATCATGGCCTCGATCTGTGGGGTTAGGGGGACCAGAACAGCAGGAAGGGGTGAACGGGCGTGGAAGGTTTTCTCCCCCACCTCTGCCTCACATTCAACGGTGGGGGAGGCGGCGGAGGTGGGGGGGGGGGGGAGGGAGGGGGGGAGAGATAATGAGTCGACTCAAAGCCCACCTTGCCCGTGATGGACCTAGAAAGAGGCCTTGCCAGGCGGGCCAGGTGCTCTCGCTGCCTCTTTCTAAGGGAGAGGGGACCGGGGGGGGAGGAGCGGGAGTGCGGAGAAACGAGGGAGGATGGCAAAGAGGGAGGGAAGAAATCTTCAAGTCTATCCTCTTGCCTGCTTCCCCTGCTCACCTGACTCAGCAGCTCAGCTACTTGTTCCAGAATTTTCTCCTTTTCCTCCTCAACCCCTCTCAACCCTCCTCAACCGGCCTCCAACCAAAGTAATGACCCGCTTGCTCACCTGACTCAGCAGCTCGGCTACTTGTTCCAGAATGTTATCCTTATCCTCCTCCTCCGCCTCCTCCTCTCCCTCCCCTTCTTCCTCCACTTCAGTCACCTCCTCCTCCTCCGTTTCCTCCCCCTCTTCCTCTTCCTCAAACTCCGTTTCCGTCTCTTCCACTTCTGTCTCCGCCTCCGTTTCAGCCTCCGTTTCAGCCTCCGTTTCAGCTTCCGTCTCGAATTCCGTTTCCGTCTCAGCCTCCGTTTCCGCCTCCGTTTCAGTTTCCGTCTCAGAATCCGGCTGTGCAACCGGGCGCCTGTACGGAACCGAGCCGCTCTGCCGCTGCTGAGCTGGCACCGGCGCGTTTCTTTGCCAGTTGTTCCGGTCATACGGTTGCTCCCTAACCTCCCGCGAATCCCGGGAATCACGCTGGTTCGAGTAACGAGGTTCGTACTGTTCATCCGGCTCGTACGCGTCTCTAGAGTTCTGCTTGCCGCGGGACGGTTGATGTTCTTCTAACGGGGGCTGGGGTTTGCGTGACTGTGGGGGGGGAGCCTGCCGCGCTTGCTGCGGCTGTTTTTGCTGCTGCGGCTGCTGCTGCTGCTCGGGGCGGAGAAGCTGACGTGGCTGATGATGTGGAAGAGAGGGGAGCGCACGTGGCATGTCGTCATCTTCGTCCCACGAATTGCTGCCTGGCCCGCCTCTCACGGGACCAGGTCGTTGCCGTGTGTCCTGACGGACGAGCAGGGAATAGCGGGGAAGCAAAAATACGAGACGATTAGCAACCGCACGGGAATAGCGCGTCTAAATCAATGAGCGGATTTTGAGTGGACTCACGGGAGCAGATCGTTGTCGCGTGGCCTAACAGACGAGCAGGGAAAAGCCAGGCAGCGGAATATGGGAAAATTAGCAACCTTACAATAGAGGTGACTTTTGAGTCGACTCAAAAATTAGCAGCCTTACAATCGAGGTGACTTTTGAGTCGACTCAAAAATTAGCAACCTTACAATCGAGGTGACTTTTGAGTCGACTCAAAAATTAGCAACCTTACAATCGAGGTGACTTTTGAGTCGACTAAAAAATTAGCAACCTTACAATCGCATTCAAAATGAAAGAAATTCAGCCAAGAAGGCCATGAGGCTTAAGGCTGGGAGCACGGCTCGGCTGCAAAATTCAAGCGGAGAAGGAGAAAAAAGAGTGGCGGGCCTGGCAAAAGGAGGACACCGTGTGGTCGCATAGGAGGATAAAAAGCAACACGGCTAAAAGGCTATAAGGCTAAAACGCTATAAGGCTCAACTGCTATAAGACTAAAATGCTCAAAGGCTGTAAGGCAAAGAGGCTGCGATGATGCGTACCTTATGCATGATGGTAGACTGCTGGTAGTATCATCCACGACGACAACTTTTGAGTCGACTCAAAAGTCATCTGGCTAAAAGGCTGCGATAGTGCGTACCTTATGCATGCTGGAAGACTGCTAGCAGTATCATCCGCAAAGACACGGTAAGCCCGAAACCGCACCGAAAGTGTGTGTGTTTTTTTTTTGGCTTTTCAAAGCTAGACTGCTCTCGACATCATCCGCAAAGAAACGGTAAGCCGAAAACCGCACAGAAAGTGACCTCCTTCAACGGGAGACAGCTACAGCAACCCAACTTCAGCAACTAAGAAAAATCAAGATTGTTCATGTCGCTTGTTTCTTTACAACGCGAGAGTCGCAAAAGACAGCTAGCGAAATCATCACGGCGCGTGCTGACTCGCACTGCCAGCGTTCCGTAATGCTTCTCAAAGCGCTAATCGCAAGGAGGAGCAGCGACCAACATGCCTTATTGAGCTGCAGGCCAGTATCCGTGTGGTGTGGCTGCGCTTACGATACTGATCTATACCTAGACTGACAAGACACACAGCCTGTTGATATTGTCAACATCCGTCAATGGCTGCGGTACAGTGTGTATCGTACGGTAATTTCAAGGTTAGAACGCGGTACAGGAGGAGGGGAGGAGGAGAGGGGAAGGTAGAAGGCGGTACTGTAGTGAGGTCTGGTATGGGCGAGTGGCGAGGGTTCTTATATCGAGGGGAAACTTCCGAGGTTTTGCTGTCCGCTGCGGGCCAAGCCTGTCGCTCAGGTCGGTTCGGATGAAGGCGAGGGAAAACGGTTACTGTTCGGGTCAAACCTGGCCCCTGGTGTTCAGATCGAGACGTTACAATGACGTGTCAACATCTTGAAACACGAGATGGAATTACGAACACTTCATCCCAAGTCTAACTAAAATAGGAAGCCAAAACGAAATGTAGAACAATTGCAAGCTTTAAAAAACATAAATCAGCATGCTTGATATGCAAGCCAACAGCTTTCTCATGCTCTAGCAGGCTTGAACCAGAGCTCTGCTGGCAGAATTGCAACAACATCCGTAGGCAACAGTAGGAAGGTATCGAGGAAGGCGTCGTTGACAGGAGGCACGCGTGCCACTCCCACCAATGTGCATTTCCCATACGCATCAAGTCTTGAGCCTTGTGCTGAGCGCATGGGCCCCCCGAGATTTCTGTGGTTAGGATTGTTTCTACAGTAAGTGGTGGCGCAGTGTAGATGGGTCCAGCTGTAAAGAAGAATTTCGAGATGAAGGTAAGCTCCACCTGGAGGAGGGAGGGAGGGACAATGGATGTGAAAGCAGAGGGAAATGAAGGTGGGTAGGAATGTGGAGGGTGCATCCTTATCAATATCATTTTCTTTAAATTTACCCATGTTGCTATGATACTCCAGCTAAGCGCTGGGGATCACCCTTCCCCCACTCGCAACCCTATCCACACTGGGCAATGTGCTGGCAATCCACATTGCCTGCATCCTCTCACCCCTGCCACCCATGCCACGGCGACGCTCAACGGGCTTACTCAAGGTGACTTGAGTCGACTCAAAAGTCAGCCCTATCCACATTGCATGCATCCCCTCACCCCTGCGCCTCATGCCACAGCTACGCTCAATGGTGTACCCAAGCCACCATCCCCCTTCATTACAAGCTCCATCTCCAATACGATACAGCAGCCTCAAACCCCAAAACTGTATCCCCACAAAAACATTCCAGGGCGCCCCTTTTTCTCCTCCCCCCCTTTTTCTCCTCCCCCCTTCCTCTCCTCCCCCCTTCCTCTCCCCCCCCCCCAACAACCGCTTCGGCCCCTGCCCCGATCCTCATCCCCCTAGCTTACCTTGCGAGTCGACCTTTCCAGGTATCCCCTGAGTACCGCAGGTGGTGGAGGGAAGGCTCATAGCCGCGTTTGCTTATTATAATGCACAAGGAGATGAACAGGTCCCACCACCACCCCTCCCCTTTTGAGTCGACTCAAAAGCAGTAGGGGGATGAGCATGCCCCCCCCCCCCCCCATCCCCCCATCCCCTTCTTCCCCCTTCCCCCACCCCCAATCAGCATCGCCCCCAAGCTTACCTTGCCAGTCGACCTCTCCAGGTAGCCCCTTAGTGCCACGGGGGCGATCTCGATCTTAAGCGGCGGGGGGAGCGGAAGCCCGAGGAACCGCGCCGTGCTGTACTGCAGGGGGGGAATGAACAGTCTTCCCCCACCACCTCCCCTCCCCCTCCCCTCCCTTCCCCCTTCCCCTCCCTTCCCCCAACTCCAATCCGAATTTCCAAATTCTTACCTTGCCAGTCGACCTCTCCAGGTAGCCCCTCAGCGCCGCGGGGGCGATCTCAATCTTAAGCGGCGGGGGGAGCGGAAGCCCGAGGAACCGCGTCGTGTTGTACTGCAGGGGGGGGATGAACAGCGTCTCGGGGTCGAATACTATCTCAATGCGATCCGAACCGTCGTCTAAATCAGTCGCGGTTCCCGAGCCGCCTCCCCCGCCCACGCCGCCGGGGCTGTAGCTAAAATCGGGGTAAATCGCGACTCCGAGCCCGCAGTTATCGCCGATTTGAATCTCCACCGTGGATCCTTGGGGGCACGAGGGGATAATGGCGCTGCCAGCGGAGGATGACGTGGAGTCTGGGGATGCTGACGTGGAGGGCGGTGCGAGTAAGAGAGCGGGAAATACGGCGGATAGCGCCACAAAAGAACGTCGCGATATTGAGTTATCCGCCACTAGATGCTCTGGCGCGGTGACGTCATCAGAGCCGTTGAGAAGAAAGGGGTGCTGATGATTGCGGATAAGACCTTGGGACGATTCGACCTTGGGAACTCCATCGGCAGTATGAGAGCCTCCATCGGAAATTGCACGCGATTGCGCTCGGGCTTGCGTTTGAGGTGCCTCAAAAGCGACCTTGGGAACTCCATCGGCAGTAGAAGAGATTGCACGCGATTGCGCTTGGGCTTGTGCTTGCGCTTGCGCTGCGACCGTGCTTGCTGACTTAGCCTGTGAAATTCGCGGGTGCAACAATGGGGTCCCTTGGCGGCGAGACTGAACGAGCGGGTTCCGCGTCGAGCCGCGCCGGCTGCTTGCCCAGACGGTGCTGCCGCCGCTGATTGCGGCGAGCTGGGATTGCGCGATCATGGGGAAGGTGCGTGACGTGGCAGTCCGACAAGGCACGTGGCGTACAGCCAGAGCAAATTGACCATGCCACAGAGAACTGTGGTTTGTGTGAGATTAGCTTATCCGCGGTATGCTTTTAGTTGATGTATTCTGGCACTGCTGTAAAGTGTGAAATATAAGGTAAGAAAATACTATGCAAGTAAACTACGCAATCATAAACATTTCGCACTATCAATGGTGGTCACCTAGCCATTCTGCCACAGTAAAACATCACCCAACGCAAACACTACGAACCTCTAAAGGTGTGGTACCTTAGATCTCGAACAAAGTAGAACGAAGCTCCACCACACTAAAACCTCGCGTTTGTCGAACTGAATCATATCTAACCCGTTTTTTAAGTCATCGTACCACTCACCTCCATTCGAACACCCCTGGGAGTTAGAGATCTAAGGTACCACGCCCTGATTGAGCATACTACATCCCTTGAAAATACCAAAAGCATGAGGTATGCTCGTCGTCACTCTACCATGTGCGGTTGTCAGGAGGTCTCCACCACACCGAGATGGCTTGAAAACGGTGAGCCTTCTTCCAATGATATGACAGTCAGACGCCCAAGATGGCAAGCTTCCCCCCCACTCTCCCCTCCCCCCTCCCCTCCCCCTCCCCTCCCCCCTCCCCTCCCCCCTTCATTCACCCCTCTTCACCTCTTCTCTGTGAATGGCGAGCTTCCTTCCGACGATGCGTCAGATGCATAAGATGGTGTGTTGAGGACGGATAAGGGGCTCCAGTAACGGCCAGGATGGTCCACCTTTCTTGACGAGCAGGTTGCAAAAGGTGCTTGGAACTGCATTGGTGGAAGTGCTTGTACCGAGGCGGATGATAAGGGGGATTGCAGTGGGATAAGCGGTGAAAGCGGATGATGGGGTTGCAGGTGTAGGGAGGGCGGAACTTTGCCGACTCCTACTTCCGTCTCCCTTTCTCCCCCCTTTTCTCCCCCATTCCCATTTTCCCGTCCAGTAGCCTCAACCAGCAGCATATCCTTCAGCCCTGCTGTAACCGCATTTTGGTCAAATGCGGCTACTTTCAGGGCAGAGAGGAAGGAGCAGAGGAGGGAGCCAAGGGCGTGCAGATCCACGGAGCTTGCTGATGATTCCCTGTGGAACTTTTTTCCAACAGCAGCGTGTGAAAGTGTGGTGGTTCCAGGACTCGATACGAGAAGCTCCTGTACAAGCAGCAGTTGCGGATAAAAGGCAGAAATGGGCAGGAAATACTCGTATTAATAAGGAACATACATCAGATTCAACTCTCTTTGAAGTGTAAAGGGACAAAGAGGAAGCTCAAGCTAATGTTGGAGCTCGCGTGCCTGCGTATCGCTAGAGGAAGGCTGTTTCTAGTTCTATTCATGTCAGAAAGATAAGGAGCAAACGAGGTGGTGCTTGAGGCGCCCTGGAAGGGGCTTATCCGCAGTATAAGCCTCGCCAAGAGGCGCATCAAGAACCACCTCGCGCGTGCAAAGCGAACACCAGAAAAAAGGCCGAGTCACAGAAGCCCGGTCACAAGGAAGTTCGACACCGAGGCTAGGGGCAAAACTAGAGTTCGACGCGCGAGTTAACGGATCAGGCTATAGCGATGGCAACTGAACCGACCTGGAGCGACGCGTGACCCGCCGTGGCGTGTCCTAACTCGGCGCAAGATGACCCGGTTGGAACAGCAGCACCAATAGCAGCGGCGGCGCCAAGCGAAGGTATGTCGATGCGAAGCTCCGCCAAGCGACTCGCATCAGACGACTGCTGCAACGCTGTTTCGCAGACGCAGCTCGGTCGTACAGCTGTCGCCGTCGTCGTCGCATTCTCGTCGTCGCCGAGCCACGTCCGGAACGAGAGCTGTTTCGCAGACACCGGTAGCAGCTTGGAGGCTTTCGCCGAAACTTTCGCCGAGCCTTCCACGGAAACGTTCACGTTCGATGCTGCCAGTGGCAGCGGCAGTGGCGCTTTTTTAGTCGAATCAGAAATCACGCCGTTGAGCTCTTTAAGCGGCTGCAACGGAGCGACGCGACTGACAGGCGCGGGAGCCGCGATACTGGGAGCGGGAGCAGTGAGTTCGTTAAGCGGCTGCGACGGAGTAACGCGTGCGACGGGCGCGGGAGCAGACGCGCGGCGCGGAGGGGGCGTCGGGGGAAGGTCGTCGAAGAACATATCGTCCCAGATCCTCCGCCTTCGCGGACGCACGGGGGGGCCCGCGGGGCGATCGGCGGGTTGCGCCGCCGCTAGACGTTCCGCCCTCTCCGCGTTCCGCTTCTTATTGTAGCGCTCGATCTCGCGCATGAGCACAACCGGGGTGGGGGTGAGCGGAGCGGGAACGATGGGCGGAATGACGAGGAGCCCCGGCCGCGCAAGGCGGCCGATGGGGGGATGCGGGTTGGGGGTGGGCGGAGGCGGCTCGTAGAGGTCGGATTGCCAGTAGGGGTTGCCCCAGAACTGCTGCTGCAGCCGCGTATCCATGTACATACCGGCAGCCATGGCGGACTTTGGAACTTGAACTTCGAACGAAAGGCAAGCCCGACTTGCTCTGGTTGGTGACAATGGATGAGGCAGAGACGCCTTGCTCGACGAAATATCGATGAGCTTTTGAATAGCCTTGCACCTGGTTAGTCAAATGCCACTATCGCTAGCTGACCTTTACGACTTCGGGCAGACTTAGCGAAGACAGGAAAGCAACCGTCCAGCAGCAATCATCTGCCTATCAAGCTCTGGATGTCGATGGTCCACAACTAGACCTTAGGGGTTCAGAAGCTCCCTGTGAAGAGAAGAAAAATGGCTGCAATTTTTCCCAAACAACTGGAAAATGCTATCTCAAGCACGCAGCGCGTCCACGGTTTTTTATCTCAGCTAAGCTCAATGCACAAACCTCTACATGCACTAAACTCGATGCACCAAGATCGATGTGCGTCGCTCGCGGTTTGTTTTCTCACTCTCGATCGACTTGATGTTTTTTCACCCGCCAATTCGCCTCGAGATATACGCGCGCACTCCAAAATGTCCCCCCCTCTCCTCCACCACCCTTTCCTCCAATTCCCCCGAACAGTCCTCCTCCCTCGAGCTATTCGCCTCGCGCGACTCGTTCGAGCATCATCCATTTCCGAGGGAGGAGGAGGATGTGACGCTCCGTCAAGTTCGGTTGCTTTGAGGCGGCGGCAAGATAGGACTACAGTAGCTGACGGCTGGAACCGTTTCGCGTAAGCAAACAGTCACGTTGGGCGACGAGCCTAGCTGGGACTGTACAGCGAACAGTTCCAGCTGGAACAAGAACAACCAATCGTAATGCGTCGTTTGGGTATTCTGGGACTAGCCTGAAGTCGGTGTGTCGCAAGGGGCCTGGTTGGGTGTCGTACAGATGGGCAAGGAAGCACGCGTGCGAAACGTGCGAGAACGTCAAGTCGCGTTTTGGGGCGCGCGTCGTGTCGTCATGTGACACCCCAGCCCCCAACGCGCCTCGATTATCACTAGGACCACCTTTTTGGACGGTGGGTGCCTTGAGCCACCACCTGTGCCACCCTACACTCTCCTGTTGGGTTGTGTGATTCGTCGAGAGCATGCCTCGTTTCGGTATTGTGCGATTTGTTGTGAGTGCAACACTCCACTGCGATTACAATTAGACAACAACTTTCCCGTTATAATTGGTCTACGTGGGCAAGAAAGCTTGACAAATCACTCAATCTAAAAAGGAAACTACAGGTGACGAGATATTGATCAGACGAGTGGCATTGCCTAGAGAACAGCTAAGGGGCACTTGAAGATGCTGAGGTGGCATCCTTGTCCTAGTGCTACCTACATCTACACATTTCATGAATCCTAGTCTAATGCCCACTATGATTTCCTCTTAGCACTAACTTATCTATCCCTAGGACTCTCCTTGATGGCTGTGCTAGCTGCTACCATTGGTTTCTGAAGTACCTTACGGTTCCACAGTCCATGGTAGCATTAGCTCTCGACCTGCGTCATGTTAGCCAGTGCTGTGCCGCAGTAATACACACCACACTAGGAAACCGCTGCACTGCTTCGCTTGAATAACCTGTCGCTCAACTGGCATTACTACCTGCGGAATTGATAGAGGCGAGGCTGTGTCAGGATGCCGAACTGACAATGACTCGGGAGGAAGGGATGGATGATGGAGGCCGTTGGAATACGTGGGATGCAAAATGAAGGAGCAATGTCGCCCGCGGGAACTCCAAGGACCAGGAGCCAGGAGCCAGGAGGCAGCAGCCAGAGGGTGGAGATGGATGGAGCTGGTGGCAGAAGCCAGAGGGTGGAGATGGATGGAGCTGGATGGAGATGGTGAGAGGATCCAGTGCCCTGATGGTGGCTGTAGATTGGCCTTTATACTGCTGATAAATTGGCCCTTGGTACTGGCTCCGCATGGTCCTGACAGAGGTTTGTTTCATGCAGCTGCTGTGGTGGGCTCAGGTATAAGGTACTTGGAAACAAACTCACGGGCAAAGAGCGATGGGTTGATTATTCCCTGCACATGGAAGCAAATATGAGATCATCAGAGCAGGGTGATTGGGCTGATTAGAGAAAAGTGGGCAACAAATCAAATGTCTGAGAAATTAGGGAGCAAGCAAATAAAAGCTCGGAAATTTCTGAGAACGGGATGATGATGACAGGGAATTAATGACCTTCATGCTGGTTCAAATGCAAAAGGGCACCAAGAAGTAGAAGATGGGTAGACGGCGGACCACCGGACCAAATGACACGGCAGCTTAAAACATCATTTTCGGGAGTGATGAATAAGATCATATGACGGATTTTGGAACGGGAATGAGACTGTTACATGGGAGCCAGGCATGGTGGTGAAGTGTAGCTTTTTCTTCTCGTGCAGGGTTCGTAATCCGAGCCAATCTTCGGCGAACATCGGCTGTTCCTGTAACGGGAGCAGATTGCCGGAGCGGTCGTGTGACCAGAACCACTGGAGGAGCAAAGGGGAAGACGCGCAGCGTCGGGGGAAGGGGAGTTGGGGGAGACGGGAGGGGTGGGGGATGGGGTGGCGGGGGTGGTAATGAGCCAGCAAAGGGGGAGCACAGGGAAGGATGGGGAGCGGCGGGAGTGGGAAACGGGGTGGAAGGGGGAAGGGGGGAAAGAATCGGGGGGGTTGCAAGGATGGCGGAGGAATGTTTAGAAGCGTGTCGTGGCGATGAGGGAAGGAGTGGGAAGGAGCGCGGGGTGGGAGGGAGCATAACGGGGGAACTGCGGGTGTTCCCGCGTTACAGGAACCGCGCAATCAGCGCACATTGTATTGTTTTTTTTTTTTAATTCACAGTAACGCACCGACGATTGGGGCGGCGAGATCATCGTTTCATCTTGCCACCGCACCAGTACGAGCCGCTCCAAGCTCCGTACGTTCGCAGCGTACGTCTCATTCCGTCTGGTCGGGCCCCGCTCGTTATTAATATCCGCTAGAAACGCGCTCCGCTGCAAGTACCGATCCATGTGCCGCCAAAGCCGGAAGTACTGTGCGGGCATGAAAAACTTTTGAACCCAGGGCAGGTAAACTCGGTGCATGTGCGGTTTCAGCAGCGTACAGAAGTCTACAGCCGTCCCTACGCCGCTAAGTAACGCCCACGTTATGCTCCCTGCCATCTCGCTGCTTCCTGCGAAGCTTCCGCCGCTGAAGCTAATCAAGCTACTGCTGAAGCCACCGCTGCTAAGACCGCTCAAACCGCCGCTAAATCCGCCGCTAAAGCCGCTAAGGCCGTTGCTGCTGGCAGTTAGCACTCTAAGCGTTGAAACGCCAACGCCTCCTAGACTACTAAGTCCCCCTGACTCTTCCGCCTCCTCCTCCTGCCACGTGCTTTCCCCCTCCCAGTCCGCTGCCACGCTGGCGTTACACGTGGCGTACGACCCCACGTCATCCGCACCTCCCATGCACCCCCGGAAATGATTCTCCCTTTCTATCTCCCCTTCGGTCTCCCTGCTCGGGCCGCAGTAAGGCAAGGCGGCCATCCCTGCGTGCGGGGAGCCGAGCGTTATCAACGTGCGCACGGGCGGGGAGTTGCAGCGCTGCACGTAGGCGCGGAAGAGCAGCCCGCCCTGGCTGATCCCGATGGCGTTAAAGCCGCCCGCGAGTTGCGGGATGGCCGCCAGGGAGGCGCAGACCTCGTCGATCTGAACAAGAGCAGGGGGACGGGGGGAGACGGGAATGAATTGGCTGGGACAGGGGGGACGGGG